GCTGTGTTATTGTTACAGTCTGCAATGGCACTGAAGGAACAGTTAGCGCTACAGGAAATTGTCCCAGAAAATATGTCCCACTGTGCAGCAAAATCACAAGAAATCAATGCAGCATTTAATGTTTTTGTCTCCCTTTGCTTCACACAGAGCTGCACAGAAATAAAAAAAAACGTATTTGCCTTCTTTGATATCTTGTTATCTATGCATCCTTCTGTTAATCTGTTTTCAAAAGATGGAAAGATAAATATGGAGGTTTTCTTTGGTGTTTCACATGAATTACATTTTATTACTGTTTCTGTATGTCATGCATGACTAATACTGTATAGCAATTTTAGGACCACAGTTCTCTCTTTTTTTTTAAAAAACAACAAAATGCAGTGCTGTGTATGTTCATTTTGGGTCAATTATATTGATATTTGGCAGTTTGAAATCTCATAATGATATATGGGCCAATAGAATGGGCTGATATTTGTGTCAGTAGAATCTGAATTTGAATAATTTTGATCTGAATTTGAATTCCTCAAATTGAATAATTGCATTAAAAACTGAATCTGAATAACATAATTGTATATATATATATGAAATTGAATGTAGTTGCAACTGCAACTGTATTTAAGCCTCACTAAAAATTCTACTTAATATACTTTCACTTTTGGTTCACTCAATTCAAATTTGCTTCTCTCATTTCAATTTCAATCCACAAGATTCAGTTTCAAGGTCAGAAAGACACTTCAGGGTCCTTGAGGAAGAGCAAAGCAAGTACCGATCAAACCTACATTCTTTCCAACAGTCAGCAGGGGGCGACTCAACCGCAAAAAGAAGCCCGGTTCACATCAGAAATAATGGCAAAATAAGCTTCCTACCTAATTTATTACATCAGTAAACACTTTCATTATGAGTTTATGATCTCAATCATAAGTTTTAAGTCCCTTCCAATACTGCATGATGTTCATTTAATAAAGTTTTTCATTTAGTGGAAAATAGCTGATAAAGCAGGGTATGCCTTAGGGTGCGACTACCTGATGGGTATTCAAGCCGAACAGCATCAGTTTTCACCATGGTTATTCATGACAAAAGGCCCCGTACTTTATATAAACATATATAATATCAACGTGTTCTCATCTCAGTGCGTCATTATCAACGCTTTCAGACAGTAATGCTATTTCTTATTACTTATTAGCCAATTTATACATCCATACAAGAATATCTGCAAAATGTTTGTTTCTTCTGGGTCTAGCTGATTTATCAGTCAATCAGAATCAGAATCTCTTTATTTGCCAAATGTACAATGTACACAGGAATTTGACTTGGTGATACAGCACAATAAAAAACAAGTGGCAGCATAAACAACATAATCTAAATACGTTAAGTACTTTGAATATATGCACAATAGTACATACTACACTGATACACTGTACTTGGTCTATGAATCGGCCCACAGTTTGCACAAAGTGTTCCAGTCTGTGTTTGGTGTGGGCAGAGGGATAACACACAATGATGGAGGAGGTGAGGACACCCTCAATGATAGAACTTGGTGCGGAAGTTCATCTTCTTGAACAGTCTGAGGAAAAACATCCTCTGATGAGGTCGCTTGATGACAGTATGAGTGTGTCTCCCCTTTCAGGTCACTGGTGATGGTGGTACCCAGAAACATGACAGACTCCTCCATTTTTACTGCTGCATTTTTGATGAGTACATTTACATTTATTCATTTAGCTGACACTTTTATCCAAAGCTCTGCCTCTGGAGCAACTAGGGGTTAAGTGTCTGGCTCAGGGACACCAAAGGCAAGCATCTTATCTATGCGCCACCGCCCACCCCAGAGGAGGATAAGGAAAGGAGAATGTAAGGGTGGGTGTTTCCAAGAGCTCTATATTCTAATTCCCCTTTAACAAAAAAATTGCTTCAGGCTATGTGTTATATAGCAAACATCTCATGACCCACTTGAAGCTGACAGGTCTGAGAATTGTGCACTTTTTGTTCTACATGAGATCCGCCCCCTAACATGACCTTCAGAAACCAGGAAGAAAGTATGTTGTCTGCTCTTGTATCTGTCAGCATCTTAATAAGGACTACTGTAAGATGGAGAGGGAACAGGAATAGAAAGGTAGACTCAGTTTGACAGAAATGTATCTCACCCCGTATTTTTCAATGTCAGGAGAATTTGCATAATAGAGGAGTTATTCTCAAGTGACTAGATTGTTCTGTTTTTTACCTTCAAGTGCTACTTGCTCCTCCATGATGGGCCTTCACGTTGCCATGACGAAACACGTGTTCAAGCACTTACATAATAATGGAAAGGGATCCTAAATATGGAGACATTTTGGAGGGGGCTCTGTAAGTTTATCTCTCAGCTAAGAATTAAAGATTTACATGTAATAAAGTATTTTAATGCTGTTGTGGCTTTCTGAAGATGACTCAGTAGCTTAAGTATACGTGTTTTACTTGTAGTCTGTGTTAGTCCTAACTTTCGTCTGTAAATAAAGATGTAGCTCTCACTGGGAGAACATTAACTGAAGTAAATGTGAAGCTTTTTTTTTTGTAATCTCGGTATGTTCATTTTGAAACTATAAGTGAACATTTTTGCAGTATGAACATGTTGATGGGTGTTGTGCGAATATAATGTGTTGTGTAATGAAAAAGAAACAGTTGTTTTTATTCAGCAAAAATGAATTGTTATCTTACCAGGCTTTTGTATAATAATGATGACCCAGAGTTAGAGTGAACTACTTTACGCCCAACAACAGTCAGGTTCACTGACTATAAAACATACTGGACTGCTGTCTTACTGTCTGCAGGTGTTTCCTTCTTATCTTATGTGTGTGTGTGTGTGTGTGTGTGTGTGTGTGTGTGTGTGTGTTTGTGTGTGTGTGTGTGGGTGTGTGTGTGGATTTACTCACTCTGCTTGCTTTTGCTCGCTTTTCTATCTATCTTTCTCATCTCTTTCTTCTCAGCACACTCTCCTCAGTTCACCTCTGCCCCTGTCTTTCTTTTCTCTCTTTTCCTCTCTTTCCTCTTCCCCTACGCTTCTTGGCACCTGTACGGCTCTGTCCCATAAGTACGTCTCCTCCTAACAAATGAGGCCACTGCCTGGCCACAACCAGAGGTGCATCACAGTCACAACTCCTGAGGGCGCAGCCAGTCAAACATCACCACCAAAAGCCCTCTCCACCGTTCAGCCTTTTTCCTTTCTGATCATCACTGGATCAGCCCAGTGAATGTGAATTACACATAAAGCGAGTGACTGCTTTCTTTGCTCACCTGGTCTAAATATATTCAGTCTGTGTGTCTTCTATAGGGTTTCTCTGACAGAGAATTATTCTGTAGATGAGAGGCAGAATATTACCTATAGCTGGAACAGACAGCTTATTCGCTTATCACACTTCATGTATAATAATATTTATATTTACCCTGTGTGTGAAGCAGCTTTTAGGAGGTTGCTGATGTGTTTGGGGGATTTTTAGTCAGAGCAGTGAGCCTCAGAATAAATGCTTGGATTAATACAAATTCTTCCAACAGAAACAGTAAATTAGGATGTAAAGGAATATTTTTGTTCTCAATGCAGAATTGTTGTGGATGTTGTCTGATGTGGAGCCATTACAGCTTTCTGAAACAGTATTTATAGCTTTGGTTCAGTTTGTCATACTGATATATATTGTTAATGCCTAACAACATTTACATTATTGTAGTTACAGTACTTGACAAACAGCTGACAAAAAAGTTAGCGACTAGCTGGGGAACATAGTGGAGGATCTAGCACCTAAAGAGCCATGATTCCCCTCATGAGTTGAAAAAAAAGAGTGAATATTGGGGTCAGAGTTTTGAATTGGACGTAATTTTATTTATTTGGTCAGTGGGGCTTTTTGCCAATTGCATTTGGTTCAATGAAGAAAATAATATTTATATGTCGAATCAACATGATAAAAGTGCCTTCTCAAAGAAAAATATAATAAAAAATATGGAATTCGGATGATACTAAAAGCTACAAGAGCTACAAAATAGACCAAAAGAAAGAAAGAAAAGAATGCAGTACCTACAAAATAGCTACTGTTGTCTCCTCTTTTTAATATAAGGAAATGCCCTCAACTGCTCAACAGAAAAAATCATTTGTTCAGCACTCCTGTTCCCGTAATATTTCTTAAATATGCTCATATTTAATCAATGCAATCATTGAGACTGATAGCATGGTTGTAAGAAACAAATGAGCGAGATGAGGAGGAAATGTGTGGTCAGTGGTTGTGAAAAGAAGGCTCCATACTGTACATTTACATTTAATCAATACACATCTCCTCAGATGGTCTATGTGCATTATACAGTACTTTCACTATACAGTATTATTAACTATTTTAGAATTACAATATTAGAAACCGACTATAATGAGAATACACTTCGTGGTATACAGAATAACCTTAGTGTGGTGTTTGTATTGATTCTATGTGTAGATGTTATGTTGAATTATTGACCATTACTGGACGCCAATCCAGAGAAAATGATGTTCTCTTTGTAGATGGTTAGTCTTATGTGCGTGGGATTGATGTGTAGTGACACTTTCCAAATCAGTATATCGGTACAATGTACCGCTTGGCTTCTGTACAATCGACAGAAGGATTATGTAACATTTTTCTTTAACCAGTTCTCAAACTTTTTCTGTCATCACACCCCCCTTCAGAAGCAAAAAAAAGTTTAAGGCAACCCAGCAAAAGTGGATAAAAATTTTTATCAATCATTAACAGTACTTATATTTAAATAAACAAGATTCAGGTTAACAAAATAGTCTTGCTAGATTCAGAGCACTTTTGTTTGTTTATGTCACCACATGAGTCATATGTATGTCTCTTTAGGTCTGCTCAACATCCACAACCCCAGCAGCAACGTCGCAAGTGAAATATTGTCACTTAGCTCCCGAAAAATGAAAATCTGGAGGATTTGTGTTTCTGTCATTTTGTGTCTTAAGCACATCGTTTTCCCTAGAGTTTTATATTTATTTTTTTCTCTCACAGCTCTCTTTACAGAGGTGCCACATGACATCACAACGCAGAGTGGTGAGGATGTAGAGATGGCTTGTTCCTTCCGTGGGGCAGGCTCTCCCTCCTACTCGCTGGAGATCCAGTGGTGGTACATCAAGGACCACAGAGACTGGCAAAAGAAGCCTGCCCAGATCAGTAAAAATGTAAGTCGCACGGGGAAAAGGGTTTTTTCTTGTTGTTTTTATGTATAAAGGGCCAAGCAATGATTCCCAACAGGGGTACTTGCTGCCAGAGGGTACTAATTAACTGAACTCAAAAATAGAAATTGAGGTTTGATATGAAAAAAGTATCCACATATTTGTGTTAAGGGTTAGGTTTAATGAAACACTGCATATGAATTGAGAGCGCATGAAAACTAGTGAAGTTGAAATAGTATGCAAAAAGTAAAGGATAAAAAGTTGAAATAGTAAAAAGTAATGGGTAAACAGTTGAAATAGTTAGCTAAAAGTAGCCTAATTGGTAGACCGTTAATATAATTCAAGCTAAAAGCAATGGATAAACAGTTGAAATACAAAACAAAATGGGTAAACAGTTGAAATAGTTAGCCAAAAGGGTTAACAGTTAGCAGTTTAAATGAAATACTTAGCTGAAAGTAATGGATAAACAATTGAAATAGCAAAACTTAATGGGTAAACAGTTGAAATATTTAGCTAAAAGTAATGGATTAACAGTTGAAATGAAATACTTGGCTTAAAGTAATGGGTACTTGTACTTGTTGCCAGAGGGTACTAATTAACTAAATTCAAAAATAGAAATTGAGGTTTCATATGAAAAGAAATATCCACATATTTGTGTTAAGGGTTAGGTTTTATGAAACACTGCATATATCAATTGAGAGTGCATGAAAACTAGTGAAGTTGAAATAGTATGCGAAAAGTAATGGATAATCAGTTGAAATAGTAAAAAGTGATGGATTAACAGTTGAAATGTCCAAACTTCTGCCAATCTAAGAAGTAGCTTTGAAGTACAATTGCAAACTTGACCACAGTAAACTGTTGACCTGTTGACAATTAAACTGTATGAAAAAATAACACAAATGTTTGAATAATGAATTAATAGTTAATAGTTGAAATAGTTAGCTAAAAGTAACATATTTACAATTAAAATAGTTAACAATTGAAATGAAATACTTAGCTTAAAGTAATGGGTAAACAGTTGAAATACTTAGCTTAAAGTAATGGGTAAACAGTTGAAATAGTTAGCTAAAAGTGATGGATTAACAGTTGAAACTTCTGCCACTCTAAGAAGTAGCTTTGAAGTACAATTGCAAACTTGACCACAGTAAACTGTTTTAAATTAAATTGTATAAAAAATTAACACAAACATTTGAATAATGAATTGTGTTAAAAAACTTTTTTTTTCAAATGCTATATAGCCAAAATTTATCTTGAAAACCGGCTCCCTCATCTCCCCTCTTCCAGGCTTTACCCAAGTAACTGTCTAACTTCAATGTGTGAATAGCCAACTCACTGTTTCTGCATTGTCCATGTTTATAACATCTATTTCTGTTTTTATGTCACTTAACAACGTATTGTGAGGTTCCCTCTAAAAAGGAATAGAAAATAAAATGTATCTAATTTCCCATATCACTGAGATGTATTGATCTGATGTGATTATAGTGTTTGAAAGCAGCCCATCGTAACACAACTAGTTTATTTTACATGATATCTGTGATGGCTTTTATTTTGCTCAGGAAATCATATTTAGTCTTCAAAATTAATCTGTTTAGTAGAATTACAAAGTCCATTTCAGTTTCATTTTTTCAGTTTGTGCTGTTCAATTTCTTCGGACAGAACTGCTCAGACTGATCCTAAAGCTTAGGCCTACTGTATATCAGGCTGAGGGAAATGCAATATTAGCTACAGCAGAAACCCTCTAGCATGGAAACGAAGGGATAATTGCTGATTAGCATTTGCCAGCACTGGGGGAACAGGTTGACTCTCTCCCATGATGGGGGAACTCAGGCTCCCCTGTTGTGCCTCTAGACACTATAATTGGCACTGAGAAAGAAATAGATTTTCAAAATCTCTGTCTGCTCCATGCATAATTCATACCTATACCCAAAAGAATACCTCTGTGCCTCTGCATACACATTCACACAAATTCTCCTGCTGAGAGGCTTACGTGCTTGGTGCTGTAGTGTGTGCTCATACACACACTTCTAAACATGCACATACAAGCATGCACATACACACGCACACAAACATATGTAAAGCTCATCCACCAGAGAACTAAAACAGATCAGCAATCCAGGGAAGCTAAGTTTTGTCAAGAAAAACTGCAGAAAACATCAAACATGTTTGCCCGCTGTAATGTTTTGCTGAAATTAGATATTTTTAGCATGAGATGTTTGTAGTAAAGTGCAGCCTCGCTCAGCCTTCTGTTGCTAACGCATCATTCACATTTTTGTGCAGGTTGTACCCCTGGAGGAAACGTCCAAAGATGCCACCAAAATAAGTGTGAGTTTGATCTTGCATCAACTGTCAACTAGCCCAGAGCAAAGACAATATCAAAGAAAACGAGCAGCTTTTGCAAGACATAATTGCATTCATGAATTGGTACTCTATTTAATCTTAATTTATGTTTCTATGGAGGGATTATTGGGTCAGAACTAAAACTAAAAGTCGAAAACTAAAAGTCGAAATCGGAAACTAAAAGTCGAAATCAAAAACTAAAAGTCGAAGTCGAAAATGAATTTGGTATTTAGGATTGGGCATTTAGTCATTTTGCCATTTAGGATTGGGGATTTGGTATTTAGGATACGGCATTTGGTATTTAGGATAAGGCATTTTGTATTTAGGATTGGGCATTTGGTATTTAGGATTGGGCATTTGGTATTTAGGATAGGGTATTTTGTATTTAGGATAAGGCATTTGGTATTTAGGATTGGGCATTTAGTCTGGTGTTGTGTTGTTCAAAGAACGTTTTGTTCATAAGACCTAATCGTGTGTATGACTCGGGAGGAACGGGTTGTCTCAGTGAGTGATTCGTTCATTTTCACGCATGCGTGAAGGATCTGGGACTCTTACGTTCACTCGTCACACGGCAGCTGCCTGGGCTCCATCAGCACAGGAAATAGAATTGATTAGTTCACGACTCTCAACTGTGGGTCTGTAGGTTTGAGTCGTTCACCGCTCACATTGGTCCTCCTCAGTCTTTCATTCATGCGGCAGGTTGAGTGACTGCCAGCGCCGGAGAATGAGAGGCAGGTCGGCTGTCAGGTAACAGTCACTGGACTGATATTATTTAGCTATTTTGTTAATTATGTGACATTTAATAAATCATAACATTATTACAGCGCAGTGATGTTGTGCTAAGTTATAGTTTTAACACAGCAGTACCGTAACTTTAGTCCTGCTAGTGTTTAACATTACAACTAACAGCTGATGAGAGATGTTCTGGGTCCACTTCAGAGGTCTGACAGGGTTCTTCCTGGATCCAAATTACCTCCGAGGTCGTCTCCTCTCCAAAACAAACAGACCCGGTCATTAAAACATTAAAACACAGCCACATAGCGACGTTGGCGTTAGCTCTGTAAACAGCTAACAGCTGATCCAGGTCCGCCAGGGAACGCAACGTAACTTTTCCTTTTTATTTACCAACAGAGCCGTGCTGTTGTTTCACAGCTCGTGACTGGTGAACAACCTGGCCGTGTTTGAGAGCGATGTGCTCATGTGTGTTTCTCTGTCTGCAGAATCCGAACCTGATGTGGCCCATTCTGCGTCCAGACCTGCCAAACTGCTGCGTTTACATGTGTTTATTTCTTTGTACCTCTTTCTGTGCTGGAGTTCTTAAAGAACTTGGTGGCTTGATCTAGATTATTATTAAATTGGTTGAATTTTAATAAGAGTGTGTTTATTCATATAGTGTTTGAGAACGGCGCTGTTTTTTAATCGCCCACTAGAGGGCTGCAGCGCCACAATACAGCATTTCTGTCCATGTGGCCTCTCACACAAAGTCAACAGTGAAAGGAATGCTATCCATCTGACGAGAAAGCAGCGGACAGTACAGCAGGTAAGCTATGATAACATTAGTAAGTTAGCTATATTAGGCTAACTGTTGCTGACATGCATGAGTTACATTACTAACCCTGTTGTGTGTATAAACTGTAAAGATAAGGTGTAGAAGCTGTGTTTCTGGGTAATAGCACCATGCTGGGCAGGTGACAGGTGTGTGTTCACAGTGTTTGTGTGCTCTGAAACAGCGCAGCTACAAAGTCTCAGCCAGCAGACCTACTATGGTATTATTACTACACACATATGGATGTAACGTTGAGGCCTGATAGACATCCGCTAATCAGAAACAGAGGACACTACCTGCGTCACTGCCGATGTCATTTGACCAGGGAGTGAATGGTGATTTATGCGACTGTCATCAATGTTTTCCTATAGTGTCTCCTTTTGTTCTTTCACCTCACTGTGTTTCGAGTGTTCCCGTGTGTCCCTGTGTTTGTTATTGCCCCATGCTCAGTCTCCTGGCTCCCGCTCAGCTGCCTATTAGGGTCTACAAATTCTACACTAGAGGTGTTTGAGGTTAACACAAGCTCTACTGTTTTTCCCCACTGACTTGTCCTCCCCCCTGCAGACAAAGATGATTCACCTGGACATGAAGGACCACTTGGTGTCACAGCTTTGGATCAGCCATCTGCAGCAGAGTCCCAGTCCACTCGGTCACACCACAAGTTGGAAATTACAGCTTCAGCTGAATCAGTAACCTTTGGATCCACTCAGGACTTTTTCTGTCACTTAGACAAAATTTACTCTTCATTGAAGGCTTGTATTTTATCTTGCAGAGTTTCTACGTGATCTATAATTACCTTGTTTTATTTTGCTCATTACATTATGCATATAAATAGCACAGAGGTGCAGTCTGACAGGAGAAGCTGCTTGTCTTTTATTTTCACCATATATAAATGCTTCTGTACCACCTGAATTTCCTTTCGTGCAGTCTTATCTTAACTAGTATACATGATCATACAGCCTACGGACTTGCACAGTTTCTATGATCAAGTGTTGTGCTATACCCAGTCTATGGCTATACCTTATTTGCTTCTAGTGGTGGGTGCTGCTGAAATTAGAAAGATATTAGGGCTAATTTGGCTTTTAGTTATGATTATGTAGTTTGTCATTTGTTCTGCTGTCTTTGGAAGAATTTGCTAATTTGTAGAGGCAGCGAAATAAAAGTGGAAATAGGCATAACATTTCATATACTTCCAATTTTATGATAATAAAATGTTAAAATTAGTGTTCTTCAATTATGTATAGAAGCTTCCTACACCAGGTAATGACAGATAGAGACAGCGATGTCACCTCACAAGCCCTGACCTGCACACGTTTATTTGACGTCATTTTTTTCATCCTGAAAACAAGTCTTTTAAAAACTATTTGTAAGAAATAAATATTTACCTTCTTAGCCATGACCCTCTAATTTCTAAGTTTTGCAGTATAAGAAGCAACATTATATATTTAACACAGCCCTGTTCTTCCCCCATTTACATTGATCTGAACTGGCACTGTTGACAAAACCTGGACTCATCACATGGAGACAAAACTCAGGAACTTTATTCCATAGGGCAGGAAAGTTTGTAGTCTCCTTATGCTACACACACAGAACATAACTTGATGTCACTGATACAGTTGTCAAGGTCATTAATAGGCCTGAGGATATCATGTGAAAGTGAAATACACAACTGAGCCTTGTGGGACCTCAAAGAAAATGTCATAATTGCCAGTTTAAAAGTTGTCAAGAGACACAGAGAATGTCCTGCCAGTTAGATAAGATGAGTCCCTTTAAGACACGGCCACATTGCCCAAATGAATTTTCTAGTTTACTGATTAAAATGCTGTGGTTGGTTGACAGTATCTAAGGCTGCAGTCCATTCTAGAAATACTAGGATAGAAGGTTTGTTTGCAGCATTGTTGATCTGTTGATTACTGACTACTTCAAAGCTGTTTCAGTGCTGCGGTTTGTCCTGAAGCCAGATTGATACACATCATATAGATTGTGGAGGGACAGGTAATTATGCAGTTGTTTGTAGACATCCTTTTCAAATATTTTACTAGGAAAATGGATATTGATTGGTCTGTAGTTGCTCATGAATGTAAAGTCACAGTCCAACCCATTAATAAAGACTGTGGTAATTTGCAGTTGAAAATTCATCTAGGTTCAAATTGACTCTATTTTACATGCATTTTGAAGACTTCCTGTAGATGTTCAAAGACTTTGGAACTCCATTTAGTCCATACCCAACGTTAATCATGGTGCATCCAATTTTGGTTACTGTTTTTGTTCAAATCTAACTAGCAGTTACTAAGCCTCTAGTGTCGAGTTTATGCCCTAACTTAGGAGAGAAGTAATTGTTGCACATCTGAATAAAAACTCAGTGTGGCTTTGAATATCTTTACTAAATCTGCAACATACATCAACAGATCGAAACATTGTTATCAGCATGGTCAGTTCAGACTCACGTTAAGTTACAGAAATGCACTGCCATGTTAAGGCTTCTCACATAACTCACTAACAGTATACCAATAAAGGAAAACATTTGGCACAACTTCTACATTATACAGATTAGTACTGTAGCTCCTGTTTATTACAGCTGCATGTACAGTCATGTTACAGGCTTTACAGAGACAATTTCTTATATATTCCACCACAAGGTCTTAAACGGATGATACATGGACTATTTACATCTACTTAAGCCGCTTTTCGACCAAAGGATCTCTTTTCAAGGAACTAAAAGGTTCCTTCAGCCCACTGTTGTGTGTGTTTCCACCGTGGTCTAAAGACCTGCGAAGATTAGGCAAATTAACCAGCTGACGTAGGCTGTAGCCATACAAAGCATGCACAGGCATCATTATTTGTAATCACTATCCATGAGCAACATTTATAAATGAACATCAGATTTGACTGGAATATAATTAAAAACTATAGGCTTTGCTTGACCATTATTAAAGCAGCTTTTTTGTGTGGGAGCTATAATGAAGACACACACGATAAAGTTCGTTACACATTTAATAGTAGCCAAACAAACTGGATAAAGCCATAAACTTCTTAAAATAACTCCAGCACAGAGAAAGCAACACAAAAATAAAATCGCGACAGTTTGGAAGGCTATTAAAACATTTCCAGCAGACAAAAGCTGTAGATCAACTGCAGCATCATGTCTGTGCCGGCCTGCGTTAGAAGAAAGGGATGTTTCACGACCTTTATTACCTGCTGTAATCAGCTGTTCTGCTTGTTTCTGAGAGGAGACAGATTTCGGCTCCATGTAGAAACTTCCTGGCTGATGAAAACTTAAAACAACAACTTTGGACCCAGTATTTAGCATAAACACACCGCTGCACACTGGCTTCTGTTTCCAAAATATTTAATACCAATATTCAATCTCAGGTGGACTGTGCATCGGCGAGACTTGTGTGGCTGACTGTTGATTGTGATTTATTGGTTTGCAAACAAA